CTCCGTCGTAACCTGGTTCACACCTGCCCTCCCTCTACCTCGAAGGTGGGCACCTATGCTGTTCCGTGTGCCTCCTGTGATCAGCAGTATTTTGGTGAAACAGGCGCCAGTCTTACTAAGCGTCTGTCTCAGCATAAGTACGCTGTATCCAGGGACATAGCAACAACGCCCTCTTCTGCCATCAGTGGGACACTGGCCATCAGATGGACTGGAAACTGCACGCATTCTCTTCCCTTCCGCTGATGTCCATGCCCGCAGACTGGTGGAATCTTCTCTCATTAAGCTGCTGCCCAATTTCAACTTGAACAGCGGGTTCTCTCCTGCAGACAGCCTCCTCGCTTTCCACATCCTTCGTCTCCTCCCTTATGCCGGTCACCCGTCACATAGACCGCCTGATCCTTCGACCTGATCTGACCTCCCTTCGCTTCCGTTCTCCTGTCCTCACCCGCCCCGTGGTTCCCGAGTGCTTCTCCTCCTTTCCCTCTTATACCGCTTCGTCTCCCCATGCCTCCAGGCTAGTACAGTGGTAACGTGTCGGCCTCTCATCCGAGGGGTCGGCGGCGTTCGCGCCCGCGCCAGGCGCGAGAAGTTGCAATTGTCGCCCGGAGGTTACTGCTGTCGCTGGGCACCACGGTGCGTAAGGACTAAGCTCTGTCGCGTCAGCACTTGCTGACACACGGTGATCGAGTCGACATTAGTCGGCCACAGGCCGGCTCCCCATAGCCCGGGCGAGGCTCAGCTTCGCATATGACTTATCCTTATATCTTTGCCTCCTTTAGAGCTTACCTGGATCTTTAGGTCCAAGTTTTTTTTCGTCTTTGCTCTCGTGGATGTTTTAAAGAGATTGACACCCCCACGATGGACAAAACGATTGGCTCTTGGTGTAACTGCTTTGGGTGCAGTTGCGCAATACCTGCTTTGGGCTAGTGCCTTTAATTACAGCCTTGATGTGCGAGTAATTAAAAGCACGACGCACAGTGGCAGCCGATAGTTTCGCTGCGAAGTGTTAAGCCGAACACATAAGGGCTCACGCCCATTCGGCAGGGTTCCGACCCCGACCGGCCTTCCCAAATAGAGACTGTTGGCTACCCTGTGTGCTTCACCGTTTTTTTTATACCATTTCCGCCCTTTCATCGTCCAGTTGAATTAGCTCTGCTAGCCTCCCCTCTACCCATCATCCATCACCCTCGCCTATGCGTAACCCTATGCTCAACGTTATCAAAAAATTAGTATTACAATGTAAGAGTCCT